AAGAGGCTCTGGGGCTCAGGCTCGGCTTTACTTCATCTGCATCAGAAGTTCTAACATGTGTAAGAAGAATCACCATGGCAGCTGGCGCTGGCAGTTTGGATCCAGCCCCCCCACATGGCAGCTGCTACCCATCCTATGCAGGACACCTCAGGCCCACTCCAATCCCACCCCACCCCCACTGCCAGAGCAAACGGCCTGCCCCAAGTCCTGCCAGGCCAACCCAACCCCCACTTCTCCTCATGGGAGCCTGCACCCAAAGTGGATTGTGGCCCATCCTCTGCCATGCTCCCCTGTCACACTGAGCCACACCGATATTTATAGTTTGGGTGCTTCAACAGGCACCGTCCCTTCTCACCAGCAAACCAATAAAAGGTAAGTCCCAGGACACGCAGCAGTTTGATGTCAGCGGACGGTCTTTGCACAGTCTGTCCCATGAGGCAGGGTTGGGAACGAGGAGAGGGTGGAGTTACATTGGTCCAATCAGCCCGAACTGGGGCAAGCAGGGCCTGCTTGCACTGGCCTTCACCAATCTGTACATAGTCCCCTGATAACGGGTCCATCTTTGTGCTCCTCTTGGTCAGGCTCAGAGGGGCTCAGATTACTTCAGTGGCAGGGCCTTGGGTTGGAAGCAGCCTGAGTTTGAACATAAGGAAACAGTAAGGTTGTGTTTTACCTTCTCTTGCTAATCTCCATCAGCAGTTGTACATGTTATAAGGTTCTGCTAATTTGGCCTCTACTAAAAGATTATTTTTGTGTGGACATCAAAATGTTGATTTTGTCTCAGTGCTGTTTATTGTGATGAGAAAACACCAGGCATAGCCTGTCCATGCATTTTTTTCCAGACTTTTAATGATTTTCCTATTTTATTCAAGTTCTCTTTCTACTTGATTTTTTGCTTCGACCTATCTTTTTTTAAAATAACACTTAGTTTAAAAGATTTGATACATTATTTGTATCCATTAAATCAAAAACATTTGTAATGTCTACAGTTATTCCTCATTTGGAAGTTGTGCATTTGATTTCTCCTTCCTAAGTGAAGTACTTTATCCTTCACTGATTTTCATCTTGAATTCAAATGTGTTGAAATTTCAAATTTTAATTCTATCCTCCAAAATGCTTGTAACTCTTCTCAGCTTTGTGTCACTTGTACATTTTATAATTATACTCTCGAGTCATTAACATACTGAAGATTATCAGACCTATGACTGACCCTGCAGGACCCCACTAGATGTATCATCCCAGTTTGACAGTGAACCACTGATAATTACTCTTGAATATGTTCTTTGAAAGTGATTAAATTTGTCAAAATTTGACCCATAATTATGACACACATGAAATACAAATGGCAATTTGCACACAAAAAAAATGTCCCCTTGCAAAATAGAAAAGGTTAACTGACATTAATTGAATATTAGTAAAATACTAATATAGAGGGAAAATAGTCCGTTAGTACAATTTCAAGGTCTGTGCAAAACCTCTTTTCTCTCATACCTTCTTACATTTATTTTGTGAGCTTGAACACACAATAAACAAACCACTCATACAAAACCCTTCCCTATGCAGAGCAAGAGATATTGACAAGACTGATTTATTTCTAAACTTTATTTTATTATTTCAGATACTTTTTTTGGCTCCCTGATCTTGGAACAATTTGATATTCTGTGACAGCATGGAGAATTACTGGTGCTGTATACAACATGTTCTTCATTGTAAGTCCAACAGACAATTGACCTTGGGTTTCAGAGGTCTTTTTTGATGGTCTTGAAACTATTGATTAGCACTGTCATTTATTAGAGAGGGAAATAGGCATATTGTATGTGGTCCTGATCCCACACTGGTGTAGACCAGGAGTAACAACATTAAAATGAGTAGAGTTACAGCAGATCCAAACTAGTCTGTAATCATAGTTAGTCCCACTGTCTCTCAACATAGTTTGTTCCTGACTACAGGTAGACTATTATTTAATGAAGTGTAACCAGCATTTTGTTATTGTGATGGACTGTGCTGGGCCTGGGCACTGCTGAGGGCATCCGCTTAGGGCAAATTTCTCAAAACCAGGGCTGCTTACAGCCCTAGTCTGGAGACCTTTCCCAAATAGGCCACAAACCAGTCACTCTGAGCATTCCAGCTGCCAATCTGGCCAGCCAGAAACCTCACAAGCAAAACCATCAGCCCCAGGCCTGCATTAGCCACGGGCCTCACACACGGGTGAGGTGTTATAGAACCCAATCTCACCAACTCTGAACCCAATCTCACCAACTCCTGGTCCCAGAGAACCAGCCACAGATTCCCAGTCAATTTATACTTTAGATCTTACCCACAAGAGCACGCTCGGCCAATTCTTTAGAACCTAAAATCTAAAGGTTTATTATTAAAAGAAAGAAAAGGTTGAGAGTAAAGTTATTAAGGGGAATACATTACATTCACCAAACACCAAGTTCTTGATGCAGGCTTTTAGCAGAGATGTTACAAACTGCTATCTTAAAAGTCTCTGATGTACATCCTATGTCAGAATTGGTCAGCCATCCTTCCCGGCTCTCTGTCCCTCACAAGGCTGCATCTGGGATCAGTTTCAGAATTGAAGACAAGATGGAGTCCTCTTCATGGCATTTTATATCCATTCCTGGTGTCTTCCAAGCTGGAGCAGGTCACATGGTCAAGTGTCCTGTCTGTGTTTCACATGCTGGCAGCCATTATGCCCCGATTGGTTGCAGGTTTCCTGATGCATTCCTCAGATATGTATTGTCCACCTAGAGAGCCATTGTCCTTGGGCCATGCTAATTAGCATAGTCATTGACTGAACAATCCTTCTTTACAACAGGCAGTCCAGGCCCACAGTTCTATCTTAGGGTATGTCTACACTACCCTCCTAGTTCGAACTAGGAGGGTAATGTATGCATACCGCACTTGCTAATGAAGCCCGGGATTTGAATTTCCCGGGCTTCATTAG